CGGGGCGTCCGCACTCCGCAGTTGCAGCGCCTGGAGCATGTATTTGCCCAAAGGACTCGGGACTCCGCCCATACCCAGCAGTCACCCGCGGTCCCCTCACCTTGTCCAGCACCTTCCCCCGCCCCTCAGCCTGTCCTGGACACTGTCCACCTCCAGGGCCCATCACGCTGCCCCAGACCAGACTCCACTCCTGCCAGCCGCCTGGCTTCACGGCTTGCTCCCTCCAGGCGCCACTTCCTTAGGACCAGGCCACTTCTCAGAGCCACTGAGAAACCGGAAACAGTCAACAGAGAGCAATCATGTCAATCATGTCCCTAAGCTCCTGTCCCTAAGCTCCTGTCCCCTGTCCACCGCAGACCCCGATCCCGTCCCTCTCTAAAACTGCCCTCACCCACTGCCCTCTTCCTTCACTGCAAAGCACCCCAAGTCTGCGCCGCCCCCTCCCAGGCCTCTCCTCCCTAGCCGAGTTCTAATCCGGTGTGGTCCCTGAGCTCCGATGGCAGGGAGCCGCCGCGGGGTGGCAGGGCCCGAGGGGTCAGCGAGCCCTGGCGGCTCCTGAACCCCGGTCTCGTCTTCTCTCCCTGACAGAGCCCCCGGAGCCGCCCTTGAAGCTGTTGTCCTGGGGTAGGTGCTTCGTCCATCCTCCCCCAGAGCTGCTGGTGAGGGCGTCTCGGGCAAGGCCGCCCTCGGTGGTGTCCATGAACCCTGCCCACTTCCCTGCCCGCTCTCCTGCCCCAGTGTCCCTGGCCACAGGGTGCTGTGCTGTCCCTCTCTGGGCTTCCTGGGGGCCGCACTAGCGGTGGGTAATGGGCTGCCTGCTTCCTGCAGCCCCGGGGACACTCCACGACCGGCTCGAGGCCCAAACCCACAGCCAACCCCAGGGCCAGTTCCAGAGCCAGGGCCAGTTCCAGAGCCAGCGCCAGGTGACCCTGGTCCTCGTCCTCACCACCCTCTTCATCCTGGGGCTTGTTGTGCTGGTCTGGTGCAGGAGGCGCCGCTCACCACAGCTCCAGCTGGTCCCACAGGTGGGGGCTCCGGGCCTGGTCTGGAAGTGGGGGTTGGGGCGGTCTGGGTGAGGCTAGGACACTGCATGGACACTTGGCCCCATGGGCTTGCCCACATGTGGCTAAGGGGATAGGGGTGCAGGGTCCCAGAGAGCTGGTGGCCCTCCCCCAGAAGACCCTAACAGGGCCTGTTCTCCAAGCCCTCATAGTGTCCCCAGGACACCCTGGAGGACAGCTTGGGGGTGCGTGGGGGCTGGACTTCCAGGAGACCCAGGATGTGAGTTTGGTGGTGTGTGTGCAGTTGTGTGTGAGCGTGTGTGGCACACGGGTGTGTCTGAGCATGCACACGCGTTTCCTTGCCCGCCCTCATCCCTCCCTCTGCTTTCCCCCTCCAGATGAGCTGGTTCTGAGCTGAGAAAAGAGTGGACACCAGCCAGGAGCGTGAAGAAGCCCACTTGGTGTCCAGGACCCCCCCTGGATCCCCGCCCCAATGAGGCCACCAGCACCAGGTGGTCACAAGGAGGGAGCCTTGCTGGCTCACTCCACCCGTCTGGCTGACATGTCCCCGAGGTGGCAGACGGAAGCAGGATCTTGTCCCAGTCTGCTGGCAGGGGACCCGCTGAGTGTGCCGGCCCTTCAGCCGGAGTTGGGGAGGCATGTGCCCCGTGAAGAGGCGGGGCCTGAGGCCTGGCTGGGAAAGCCTGGCAGCATCCTGGGCTTCCCCTGGTCACCCACGCCAGGGACCGGGGACAGGCCCTTCCCCACCTCCGACTTCAGTGCCAGCCACCAAACAGGGGGACCTCTCAGGGCCTCTCCCTCCCGCCCCCTCCATCCTGGCCTGGGCTCCTGTTCCCCGCGGGGAGCTTCCTGCCCCTCGGAGGCGCCCCCGTTTTTGACTCTGAGCAAAAACAAGTTTGGGGGCCCCTACTGACAGTGGTCAATGGCCAAGATGGGGGGTTAGAGGCCTGAGATGGGGCGCCGGCCCCCGCCGCCACCAGGGGGGGCGGCTCTGGGAAAGAGGCGGGGCAAGTGCTGCGGG